GCAGCCCCTGCCCGCTCCATTCGCCCCTGGGCGGACGGACGCGTTACACCTTGAGCGCTTTGTCGCCTGGCCGGTTTTCTGCCGTCGGTGTTTTCCAGCCGCGCTGTGGGCAGGGCGGGCGGCTCAGCGCAGCGCAGGGAGCTGCCGGAGCTGGGAATGTGACGCGGCGCTTTGTCCCCGAGCCAGCTGCAGAAGGATTTGGAGGAGGTGAAGGAGCTGCTGGCGAAAGCCACGAGGAAGCGAGCGCGCGATGTGCTGGCGGCAGAGAAACACAAGCTGGAGCTGGAGCTCAAGAATCAGCCTCCGCCGAAGCCCAGGGACGCGGCGGAGGAGGAGAAGTCGTCGCTGGGAGGGTACACGGTGAAAATAAACAACTACGGTAGGGTTATTTTCCCAGAGCTCCAGTATCTCCCCGCAGGGAAGGCAGGGTGGCATCACTGCCACTTAGAGTTGCCACTTAGCATCATAGCCGAGCCCTAACTGTTTATTCCACACTGGAGATCCCACTTTAACAGTCACTAGGTGCTTACCTTGCCCTCCCAGTCCTGTGTGGATCCATCCTGTCTGTGTGCTAGTGCTAGTGGGATGCATTAAGCATCCCTGGTCTAGCCACTGGTATTTTTCCATTGCCTAGTGCTTGGCAGGATTGAAGGAGTGAGCCTTGGCTTCTCTGCTCGCCATGTAGGTGAGAGGAGAAGGAGTTGCTCAAGATACTTGTCGTGCAGGGAGTAAGGGAAAAAGTGGGTCAAGGAAACTGCAGGAGGAGCAGACACTGCCTTTGGCTCTCCTTCTGCCTGAGCTGAGACATGGTTGTCTCAGAATTTGCACAAGTTAGGGAACAGGGCTACAAGTTATTCCTGAATAATTCATGTTTTCCCCTTATCCTTCTGTTTCAGTAAGGCAGAGATCCTAGTCATTCTAGGGCACTTTTTGGAGGAGTTGGAATGGAGTGCATGGAGCTTATGGAGGAAAGGTAGAACTTCATCTCTTTCTTTTCTTCACTTGCAGGTTGGGATCAGTCAGATAAGTTTGTTAAGATTTACATCTCATTAAATGGAGTTCAGAAGCTTCCAGCTGAGAGTGTGCAGGTGAATTTCACAGAGAGGTGAGTTCATCTTGTTGCATGGCTGAGGAATGCTGCTTGAGCTTTAGAGTGTGTTGAGTTTGTCTCTGGATCAGCCTTTACTCCCCACTCCCTCTCTTTCTTTGTTTAAACTTGAGCTGTGTTGGGTTTTAGTAGCACTCAGCATATAGCCTGAAGTACAGCTCTCAGAGAATGTCAGGGAGTTTGCACTTTTAAGTGCTTATTGCAGCTCACCATGCTTGGCAGGACTTGCAGTGTTACCCCTGGGGTTTGGTGGTGATGGAGCTGAAATCTGCCTTTCCAAGGTTATAGGAGATCAGTGAGCTAGAAGGAACCCTAAAGACCTTGATTCGTTGTGAAGTCTGAATTGGTCCTTTTAATTCCTCAGTGCTAAATCCAACTGAGCACTTGAGAGCCCTGGGAATAGAGTAATTCCAGCCTTCCCAAGAAATATGCCTGCTGAAGGGCTTTCAGACACTGGTTTTGGTGGCATGGCACAACAGCCTTGCAGCAGCTGGAATATCTGTGCCTTTCCTCCCTCCATTTTCTGCTTCCAGGTCATTTGATCTGCTAGTGAAGAATCTGAATGGGAAGAACTACACCATGACCTTCAACAACCTCCTGAAGCCCATCTCTGTGGAAGGCAGCTCCAGAAAGGTCAGTGCACCTTGTCTCAGAGGTCATTCAGGTCCCTTACGAAGTATCATGTTCACTACCTGACTCTAGTTCTAACCTTCAGCTCCTCCCTCCTTCTGTAAGGTCTCTGCACTGTGAATGTGATTCTCACTAATCTCTGATTGTCATAACTGTGGAATTAGCTTCTGGAATCCTATTTCAAAAGATCATGTCTGGATATTGTATGGTTGGGGTTTTTTTTGAACAGGATTGCAGACAAAATTGAGCAGAAAATTCCACCAAGCATCCATTGCACCTTTGTGCTTCTAAATACCTCTGAGAAATTATTTGCAGTTCTGAGGTCTCAGAGATTTGTCAGCAGACTGAAATCCTGGGAAGCTTAAACTGGCTTAATTCCCAAAGCGAAGTCTGAGACCTGCTCTGCCTTGCTGAGGGTACAACTGAACACTGGTGGTGTGGCTTAATCCCGGTTGGGGTTAATTTTCTGAGGGAAAAATGAACTCTATCCCAACTGAAACCAGGACAACGAGGAACATTTTACTGCTGCTGACTGCAACGGGTGATATAGGACACCATTTATAGGATAAGGAGTAATGGGGAGAAATGGAAAGAGGGAAATTTAGATTAGGTATTAGGAGGAAGTGTTTTCCCTGTTGTGGTGGTGAGACCCTGTCCCAGGTTGCCCAGGGAGGCTGTGGCTGCCCCAACCCTGGCAGTGTTCACAGCCAGGTTGGATGAGCCTTGAGCAACCTGCTCTGGTGGGAGGTGTCCCTGCCCGGGGCAGGGGGTGGGGCTGGATCATCTCTGAGCTTCATTCCAACCCCTTAACATTCTGGGATTCTGTATCCCTACTGTGCTACTTTTCAGGCTTAGGGAGGTGTCACATACCTCGTGTGACATACCTTAGCGACATCTGATGTGAAGAACTGCTGGTTCAACTGGAAATTGCCCTAAAAGTAGGACAGAGTGAAACTAAACCAACTGAAATAACTGAGAGGGTGATGCTTTGGTGATTTTTAACTCTGCACAAAGTGAGCAGTGGTCATGTACTTGCTCAGCTAAGCTAAAGCTGCAGCAGATTCCTGTCTGCTGTGGCACACAGGAATTCGTTGCAAATTCAGGTCAAGGGTGCAATTTAATAGGCTTTGTTTCTGACTTGCAAGCATGTTTCAAGGTTAAGCAATACCCTAAAACTAGTTTCTTATCTTTGGAGAAATAAATTGGAAGAGCCTCTACCTGAACTTATAGTTTCATAGTATGTTAAGGGGCTGGAATGGAGCTTAGAGATCATCCAGCCCCAACCCCTGCCCGGCAAATTCAGGTCAAGGGTGCAATTTAATAGGCTTTGTTTCTGACTTGCAAGCATGTTTCAAGGTTAAGCAATACCCTAAAACTAGTTTCTTATCTTTGGAGAAATAAATTGGAAGAGCCTCTACCTGAACTTATAGTTTCATAGTATGTTAAGGGGCTGGAATGGAGCTTAGAGATCATCCAGCCCCAACCCCTGCCCGGGGTCTCACCACCAGCAAAAGCAAAGCTCCTTCCTAATATCTAACCTAAATTCCCCTCTTTCAGTTTGTCCCCGTTGCTCCTTGTCCTGTCACTCCAGTTCCTAACAACTTGGTATGCTTGGAGGAGTCTAGTAAATCCAGTCACCCTTTACCAGGCAGTCCTGGGCATTGAGCATCCTGAGGATCACTGAATGGTGTTTCTGCAGCACTTCATGTTCTTCTGTGTTGGCACTGTGGTTCTGTCCTGGCATTCTATGAATCACACCATTTCAGTTGTCCACAGTTTTGGACCCTGAAGCTGAGTACATGCTGTAATTTTTGTATGCTACCTAATAATGAAGAGCTGAGAGAAACGATCCAGGAATTTGTGAGTGTGCAAGAGGTTCATGTTATAAGCTAATCTTATTCACTGTGACTAGCATCCCCTCATGAAGCATTCTAAACTCATGCCTTGCTGTTCATTGTGCAGATAAAGACAGACATGGTCCTTGTGATGTGTAAGAAGAAGAAGGAGGAAAAATGGGATTGTCTCACTCAAGTGGAAAAAGAAAGCAAAGAGAAAGAGTAAGTGTCTTTTCAACCCTCCATCTTGTTTTCCATTTCTCCTTGTTGCCTTAGCACTGCAGGGAGATGTGTTCTGTACTGCCTGCAGCCAGGCTCTCAGAACTGCTGGCTGGGGGGAGCAGGCCCCTAAGGTGAGATAGAATCACTAGGTTGGGATTTCTTTTGCTACTTGTAGGACTGGCAGTAGAGGAGATATCCTTTGAGTAGCTGTTTGCAGCTCTTCTGCTGTTCTATTGCTAATGACAAAGGATCTCTATCATAGGAAACATGATAGAGAAGACCTGCAGTGAGTGCTAAAGGCAATCAACCAATTAAACATTCATTTGCATTTTGGTGGCTGCAAAGTCTGCTCTAGTGAGGTGACATTTTCAGGTATATATTGTATAAAAATATATATACCCTGCAGCGATACTGGTCAAAATAATGAACATTTTGTCACCTGTGCATGAAGTACCTGCACAAAAATCCCACTGTGCTGGTGGCAAAACAGATCTTTGTTTGGGTAGATGACTGCCCAAAGTCTCAAGCCAATTTGTATCACTTGGGAGCAGTCCTACAAGCAGCTCAGACACTGGGTGGTAAATGACAGCAGGAGACACCTGGAGACAAGAGACTTTTTTTTTTTTAAAATATACATCAAATATAATGATTTTACATTATTTTATGTGCATACCCACCCTGAAGCATGGAATAGGTTTATCTCTGCCAATACCTATTCATTTTGTGTATGTTTATAGGGTGGTTTGCTAAAACTGATTATTCCTAATGAACCATATCTGAATTTAGAGCAAAATGGCCTTCCCCTCTCCTGTGGCATGACAGGAGATTCAGAGAGGTGACTTGACAACCAGTGCAGGTTTCTGGCTGGTGGTTAGTGTGAAGAACTCGCTCCCTCTGCTGATGTCTTTTGATTGCCATGTTTTTCCATAGCCTGCACTAGGAACTACCTGGAGAGGTTTGGAAAATGGGATAGAGAGAGGCAGTTTTGCCAAGAGGGTGTTGTGTGTAGTGGGGTAATTTCAAATTGCTTTGAAATTGAAAAGGAGACAATTAACCTCTGGGGTCCTCTGAAAAATGGGAAGCAGAAAAAAAAGCATTTTGGGATGTGAATGTGATCACTTTAAAGAGCTCAGTGTGGTGGTTTTTCTATTTTTACCAACTTGTCACATGACAACACAGATATTTGCACTTTGTGTGTCTCTTGTATTTCACTTCTGCTTCCTAAAATTAATGTTGGGTGGTGCTTCCTGGATCGTGTTTACTGCAAAATGCTTCCCATGGGACATAGATTCCTAGAATGTTAAGGGGCTGGAATGAAGCTCAGAGATGATCCAGCCCCAAGCCCTGCCCTGGGCAGGGACACCTCCCACCAGAGCAGGTTGCTCAAGGCTCAGCCAACCTGGCTGTCAACACTGCCAGGGTTGGGGCAGCCACAGCCTCCCTGGGCAACCTGGGACAGTGTCTCACCACCACAACAGGGAAAACTTCTGCCTAATATCTAGCCTAGATTTCTCTCTGTGTTTATCCCTGCAGTTCCTGAGCAAGATTCCTAGGTACAGTACTTGCCTTGTACTTGGTCTAAGGCTGCTCCTTAGGATTCTCCCTATTTGGAAGCTGCCTGAGACTGCTGTTACCTAAAGATTTTGCCAAAGCAAGATCCTGACTATTGCTAGGATGTTTCAAGGAAGCAGCAGCATGTTATTTTTCACTTAGAGTTGTTGTCCACAGCTGACCTTGTCGTGTCTGTGTGTTGCAGGAAGGCTGCCTACGACACTGCAGATCCCAGCGAGGGGCTGATGAACATTTTAAAAAAGATGTATGCAGAAGGGGATGATGAGATGAAACGAACCATCAACAAGGCCTGGGTTGAAAGCAGGGAAAAGCAGTACAAAGGGGACATACCCATGGATCTCTGAGAGTAACCCCAAGGGCTGCCTTAATACTGATCTTCCATGTGAGACATGCTGTGCTGCAAAGGTCATCGTTTTACACAACCTTCTTCCAAGCAAAGACAGTCATTTTCCATTTCAGGTTGGAGAAAATATTTAAATAAAATAGCTTATAAAGCATTTCCTTCAGTCAAGTGGTTCACCATTTCCTCAGGAGTGGAGCATAGGTGTATCCTTACCCCTCCTTGAAAAACATCTCAGTTGAGTGCTCTGAGGCCCAGAACAGAATGTAAATTGAAGGAACCCTAACCTAGGATGGGTCAAGGCCTCTGTGTTGCCACTGGCAGCTGTACCCAGCTGGTTGCTGGGGCTAATGGCATGCTCACTACACGGGGTGTGGCTTTTTGATTAGATGTGGGAAAGTGTTGAACTGTAAAAGCATGTCACAAAGGGAGAAGTGCTGAAGAAAGCAGAGTCCCTATCCTGAGCACCTGACAGCTGAGCAGAAACAATATAGTGCTAATCCTGTGGTATTAAAATTTAATGATTACACTCAGAAGTTAATTACTGGCTGTTTAACCTCTGAATTTTGGAAATGAAGGCAGCTCTTCAGTTCCAACTGTGAGCTCCCTGGGGTGTCTTTGTGGTAGCATCAGCCACAGGAGAGGAGTGAGCTGTTGGTGCTGGACAGGGAGCTTGCCCTGGCTTTAGCTAGGAGGGTGTGAGGACAAGAGAGACAAGCTCTGCTTTCCCCATCAGCTCTCAAGGGTTTGAAGGTAATGGAGCAAGAAGTGTGTTGAGATAGCTTACACTCTGAAATGTGACAGCTGGGGATGAGGGGTTGCTGTCAGTTGCTGCCAGTGCTATTTGGCCTCTGCTGCCACCTCCCAGCCCCACTGCTGAGGGGGACAGAGCAGCCCCTGCCCCTTTACTGTGCTGCTTTGAAGAAGAGTACAGGGCAAACGTGAGCTTAGCAGCAGGCTTGTTGTTACTGTGTCCTTCCTGCTTCCTTCTCATGTGTCTCCCAAGGACAGATTTGTTGTTACCTTGTGAATTAAGGAAGCCATTACTCTCCTGTCAGGATCTGGACCAGGACTTGCTTCAAGGTAGCAAGTGCTGGCCCAAGCACTGCACGACAGACAGGAGCTAACTACTAGCACGGTGTAGTTTCTAACAAGTCCTTTAGCCACTTTGCCTGCTTGTTAATATAAATACCTACTTAGTTTGCATAGCAAGAGTATCTAAACTTGAGGTCATGTTTATTTCCAGTCTGTGTTCCTCACCCCTGTTGGTGGCAGAATACCACTTTGCCCTGTTGTGCAGTTTCATTTATGCTTTTACCCAAATGACCATGATAAACTTACCATATGGTGACAAAAAAATTTGCTTGAACGAGCCTTGTGCTGTATGTCTTTATTTCTAGTGTTGCCCTTACCACAAAGCTCAGCAATCAGGTAATCAAACTGCCCCCACACAGACCTGCTGGTCAGCTAATGCCAGCTGCAATCCAGTGAGTTTAACAAATCCTGATTTCTCGTCCTTCCCATATCAGTCTGACTAATCAAAGCAGCACCGTCCTGGCTAGGAGTCCAGCGTCAAGCACACAAACTGAGCCTTGTTCGTGCTTTCCACCTGCATGATTTCCACCCTGGTGGTTACCACATGGCCCTCTGCACCCCAGACACCTGAGCATGGTCAGCAAAGTGCCGGAAGACGATCCTGCTGAGCCTCCAGCGCCGCTTCACCCCCCTGGGCCGGGATGTCATCACGCACCGGTTACGGATCCGCACGGGGCAGCTGTCCCGGGGCAGCTGAGCAATCTCCTTGTCAGCCACTTCCTGAAAACCAGACCACAGCACAGGATTTACCTGTGTTCTCTGAGGGGCTTAGTGCCAGGCCTCAAAATCTGGCTGTAGAGTAGGTACCACCACGACTTTAACACCTTAGGAGTTTGTTGTTTGGTAGGGAACTTTCACCTCTCTTCCTCACTCAGCCCTTCCTTTCTGGGAATCCCAACAGTGCATGTAAACTGATCCACAGAGACCCCAAAATTAACCTTATTACACAGACTGCACAACCTCAAGCCACTCGTTATAATTAGCCAAGTCAGCTTGTCCCTGTCCATGTTGCAGGGTGGGCTAACCCTTTAAGAGACCCCAAAATTAACCTTATTACAGACTGAACAACCTCAAGCCAGGAATTACAGTCAGTCAAAAACCCACTTGGCTTTCTCCTTGTTGCAGGGTGGGCTAGTCCTTTAAGATGGGCTGAATTTAAATAGATGTTCTTTGTTAACTGCCTGTCCAGGTAATATGCCTTGATGTTAGTAAAAAAGGATCTCATATACTTTGGGAGGTGTTGCAGGACTTTCTTTTGGTTGTTTGCCTTTTTCCCCCCCCAATCTAAGGTTTATTTAGGAAGCTAGAAAAGTAACCATATTATCAGAACATATCCCATATTATCAGAATATATCCCACAGTATCAGAAATAATGAAAAGAGCTTTGTGAATCTGTACTAGTGACAGTGTGAAGGGGAAAAATGTGGCTTCACTGTATTTAGTGTTACAAATGCTGCTTAAAGGAGAAGCACTGGTTTGAATCCTGGGCTGCATCTAAAGGAGTGTGGCAGCAGCTCAAGGGAGGTGATTCTCCTCTGCTCTGCTCTTGTGAGACCCAACTGGAGCACTGCACACAGTTCTGGTGTCCCTGACATAAGAAGGACATGGAACTGTTGGAGCAAATCCAGAGGCCACAAAGCTGATCAGAGGACTGGAGCACCTCCCCTATGAGGACAGGCTGAGGGAGTTGGGGCTGTTCAGCCTGGAGAAGAGAAGGTTGTGTGGAGAACTCAGAGCACCTTCCAGGATCTGAAGGGGCTTCAGGGAAGCTGCAGAGGGACTGTTAGGAGCTGCAGTGATCTCCCAATCCAACACACACATTCTGTAGTCAGCTGAACACACTGCTGTTGCAAACACCCCCAAAAGGCTGAGGTATCTATGCAACACGGCATGACTGTGCTCCTGAGCTGGGCAAACATTTGTGACCTGGCACAGCCATTCGGATCTGCAGAGTCACCACCGTGGCCCAGAGCAGGTCAGGGCAGCAAGAGCCACCTGTGGGCTCAGGCCCTGCCCAGGCACAGCTGTGGGGTGGCTGCTGGTACCTGCAGCTCCTTGGGCAGGATGGAGTTCTTGCGGATGGCGTTGATGCGCAGCCGCTCGTCCGCGTACTCGTACGCCAACCTCCTCCTCTTCACGTCCCGCAGCATCCGCCAGTCCACGTAGTAGCTCCTCACCTGCCCTGGGCAGGGCCAGGGCAGAGCCTGGAGAGAGAAATCAAGTTTGTGTTTCCTGCCTGTCACATGTGGCGTGCCCCAGTCACGTATGAATTGTTATTTCCATGAATCACAAAATCACAGAACGGTTTGGGTTGCAAGGACCTTGAATATCATCTGGTCCAACTCTCCGTCCATGGGCAGAGCTCCATCCAACCTGGCCTTGAACACATGGAGTCATGGAATATCCTGAGCTGCAAGGGATCTGCAAACATCACCGTGTCTAACCCCTAGCCCTGCACAGGAAATCCTCAGGAATCACACCCTGTGCTGAGAGCACTGGACAAACACTCCTGGAGCTCTGTCAGCCTTGGGGCTGTGACACTGCCCTGGGAGCTGTTCAGTGCCCAAACACCTCTGGGAGAAGAACCTTGTCCTGAAATCGAACCTAACCCTGTTCCAGTGCCCAAACACCTCTGGGGGAATAACCTTTCCCTGATATCCATCCTAACTCTCCCCTAAAACACAGCTCCAGCCATTCCCTCGGGTCTAAGAAGTGTGAGGTGGGATCTGTTACCGGAGACACAACGAAACCCATGTTACACCCGTGTTGTACGTCAT